CACCAGTGATCAGAGCACCGGTCACCAGTGACCCTCTGTGGCCGCCGGCAGAACTGCTGCCTCTGCAGACCTCGTCTGCCATCGCCGAGTGAGTACGGGCAGCTGCAGGGGACTTTGGTGGCTGAAAGCAATGGGAAAACTACATTAAGTAGATTAAAGTATTCAACATACCAGTTTTAAGCTCGATTAATTCTGTATACCAATATCTCTGCCTTTGAGCAAGCATCCATCTATAGAATTGTAAAGCATACAAAATAGCTCTAATTCAGTAGAAGCTTTGGACTCTCATGAAAGTGAGCCCACTTGAACCTCAAGAGATGCCAGCAATGGGTATTACAATCTGACACATGGAAGTCACACCATAATGTTGAAGTTCAGCCGAGCGTTACAGCTGAGCCATGGGTGCTAAATTCCCTTCTTCAGGGGTTAATGTTCCAGCCAACACATGCTGTAAATACAGCTAAACTTCTTTGCTTTTGTAAGCCACAGCTAAAAATTAGTTTGGTACTTGAAACACAAATATCGTTGGCTGAACAGATAAAATCCAGATGCTTTTCTCCCTCAGAACTTTGCAGAGCCTGCGGGGTTTGTCTCTGTGCAGAGGCTGGGGTGGGAAGGGAGGGTTTCAGGTGCCCAAGGAGGTGCAGGGCGCTGGGTCTGCAGAGCCTCCTGGGCGATAGGAACCAGCCCTCTTGCCTTTTCTCCATTAGAAGGCACCAGAGATCTACCGTGGTGCTCTGTGCCGCCAGCCGGAGAAGGCTGGAGGTGCCTTGTGGCACGATGGGTGCCTTGTGGCACGATGGGTGCCTTGAGCCGCTTCTCTCCCCCGAGCTCCTGTTCGGCGTCCATCGGTGCCTCTTCTCCGCGGGGATCCCGCTGCACCCAGGAATTTCACTGCTGCTTCCCAGCTCTGATGTGTCGCCAGCACATCTTCAGCTGTTGCCCAGAGAAGCCCTGAAACTCTCCAGATGACTCCCTGAATAAGAACAAGTCTCAATTCATTGTTTTGTAGCATTTTCACTTCGAATGCCACTAACTGTGCTGGGTTTGCCCTGGGCTCTGGCTTTTGTTGAAAAAAAAATCGTAAGAATAATGTTTAGAAAAGAATTCTAATTACTTGGGGTAACAACTTTCAAATTTCATTTAAATCGCTAATGTGAAAGATGAGGTAGGAAGGATCCTCAATGCAGCAAATGTTAGTGCATTGGGGAAAAGCCGCTTTGAACACGCAGACCGCAGGTCTTACTCCTCTGAAAGGTGACGTCTGACCTGGGGCAGGAAAGGGGATCTCAGGCCTCTCCTGTTGCTGGTGCCGTAGACAAATCATTAACCATTCCCCGCAGCATAAGACTTGTTGTTCTGCTCACCAGAGATGCTTTTATTTCAGCCGCTTTGCTGAGGGTGAGCTGGGCCGGCGGCCCCTCCCGCAGAAGGGAATCCCTTGCTCTGAGGCGGGTACCTCGGGGGGCGGAGTTCTCATCATTTGCTTAACTAAAAACAATAAAAATCAAGTGCCTCACAAGAGTTTTAAAGAAGGAATAAACCCTGGTGGGACCAGCGGCAGAGGGAGCAGCTGGGGCACGTCTCGAAATGCCCGCAGGTTTTCCCTCGCGG